AACTTGAAGTAACCTTTACACTTTAAATGAAGGGTCCCTTTTTTAACACCAGTCCTGTACCTGCTCTCCATTAAAGATAAGCACTCTGTCTCTGTTGCTTGCCTCGCCACAGATGTGGTTAATTAGTTGGTTGTTTTGTTTTGTTTTTTTTCTGCAGGGTTTGAGCCATTTGCTGAGCACATCGTGAACTCCAGCTGGGTTGCTGTACAGGTAATCAGAGATTAATGATCAAGACAACGGTTTAATTTATCTCCAAAGTTGGGAAAGTCCTGCTTTGAAGCAAGGGATGCCTCAATAAAATGCAACAAATGAATACAAAAGAACACCATATACACTGGCCAATTACACTTAAAAGGCCAGATCAGAGGTTATAATTGCTATACTCCAGCTTGACCACGACCCTGAATTGAATAAGTGTAAGAAATTAAGTGAATTTGTAATGAATGTATACGGGAAAATGCTTTAGTAAATTCACAAAGGGCTTGTTATACATATTGCACAAAGGTGTGGACTAAAGGGTCTGTCACTCTGTGCTCATGTTTGTTTATTGCCTGGAAAGCTAATTGCAATTATCTTGTACATAAGCACTGGGTGTGTTCACAGGAGCTGGAGCGGTTAGGACTGGGTGGCGCAGTAGATCTGTATGTGTGTGAGATGCCCGTTGAATACCAGGCTGTTAAGCGCCTACTGCCGTCGCTGTGGAAAGAGCATCAGCCACAGGTATTCAAAGAAATGCACGCTATTTTACAGATTGAGTTTTGTATGCATGTAGTGCTATGCAAAAGTCTTGAGCCACTCCTCATTTCTTTACATTTTGTTAGGAAAACTGGAAATGAGTGTAGTGATTTAACAGAAACATGTGGAAGCACAGTATGTAAGGCAAAAATAGTGTAAAGTTTTAACGTGACGGCCTTTATTCTTCAACACAGCCTGAACTCTTCTAAGCAAGTGTTCTTGTTAGTTATTTCTTCAGGAGTAGTTCTCCAGGTTTCTTGAAGGACATTAAAAGCATTTTCCTTCTTTGAATGTTGGCTGCCTTTTGTTCCAGTCTTTATCAAGTTGATCGCACACTGTTTCAAAAATGTTGCGGTCCTTGCTCTGCGGAGGCCAGTCCATGACTGTGGCCATACACTTTCCAGGTGGTATTGAAATTTTGATTAGACTCGAATCATAGCGTCTGACTCTCACTGAACCTCTCTCCTGGCCTTCTCCACGCTGACAATGATTTGAACCAATCATTTCAAAGAATGGTCAGAGTCAGGAGTGACAGCTATTTCTGATGTGGCTTCAGTAACAGTATATGAATCATTTCAGTCCTTTTTTTTTTTTTTGGCTTTGCCACTTTGACCCTCCCCTTCTCCACTGTCCTCAAAATTTGCACACCATTTGGAGAACTAGTGGGAATCCCCTTGTTGGTGCAACAGTGCTTTTTACGCCTGTCAGCTGTCATCATTAGCGCATATACAGAAATCGAAACAATTGTTCTTGTGACAGGCCTCTAGTAAACAAAGTGCCAAAAGTAAAAATTTAAAATTTGGTGCTTTGTCAAGTTGTCTGAGTTAGTTAATCAGGAAATGGTCAGGGTTGGACTCATAAGTGGAAAAAGCAGTCAATGTTCAAAGAAAGTCTTGAGTAATACTTCTCCAGGGCACTTTAAAATATGAGAAGTTTGCTTGCTGGAAGCAAAAGACTTTTGCACAGTATACAGTAAATGCCCAAATGAACCAGTGTCTCCTGTTTGATTCCCTGCGAACAGTTGGTGGTGCATGTCGGTGTTTCTGGATTAGCCACCACAGTCACTCTTGAACGGTGCGGTCATAATAAGGGCTACATGCGTCCAGACAACTGCAGCTTCTGCCCGGCCTCCCAGTGCTGCGTGGAGAACGGCCCGGATTGCATAAAATCAATCCTAGACATGGAAACGATCTGTAAAAGTGTCAATGACGCTGGCATTGGCATCACTGTGTCCACTTCTGAGGATGCTGGAAGGTTAGTGATGTTTTTGAAAATGTTTCATAAATACACACTCGGGGTGTGTTCAGCCACCGTATATGGGTGGCTGCCTTTTGTAGCAAAGGAACACAATAAGATATCTTTCAAAGTAAATGGTACCATACAGTCAGCAAACATACGGTGTGTTTGCACAGCTTTTGTTTACACGTCTGTTCTGAATGCTGCAGTCGGGCCCAACAGACAGAATCCATAGCTGATAACAAGGTCCAATAAGTGTGTGTGTGTGTTTTATCTCATCACAAAATGAAGGCATATGTGAACATTATTCTATTTAAATGCTTAAAGCCGATGCTGAAAACTGTAGTCGGGGATACGTCCATTACTGCAGAGTTGGCACAGAGCCTTTGAGTGTATCTCCCATCAGTTCCTCCTCCTGACTTTTGCTACAGAGTGAAATTATTTCTAACGTCCACCTACTTTGGCCCCTGGCAGGTACCTGTGTGACTACACTTACTACACATCTCTGCACCTGGGAAAGGGCCGTGCTGCTTTTGTCCATGTGCCTCCTCTAGGAAAACCCTACAGCGGCAAGGATCTGGGTAGGGCCCTCCAGGCTGTCATACAGGAAATGCTGAAACTGCTGGAGGGGAGTCACAGTGAGGAGGCGCAAAAAGACACTAAGCACAGCAGTGATAAGCCTTAACAAAACTTGACCCCTTTTGACTGACTTACAATATGAGGGTACGCACAACTGGCCAAGATGTAATGTTTTCATCCGAGGGAAGCTGTGCGGCTCCCAAACCTGTGACATCCAGTGCCAACTGTCGACCTGGAGCTGCAGAAAATGAGGGCTTGATATTCACATTTGTTTGTCACATTTGTGCCTCACCTGGGTGTGGTGTCTTAGAAATATTATGCCTCTAACACTCCCGATTAGGTTGGTGTCTGGAAATTGTCATTCCCCCGTGTCGCTTTGCACTTCACCCACAGAAATGTGATGACTTTCAAAATGTGAACCTGGAAAAATGTGTGTTCATCTCAGGGAATATATTGCAAATGCAATCAGTAATGTGATTAACTTTGTCTGTCTTGTGTATGTATGGTAGGATTGCAAAGGAAAACGAATGGAACACTGTGTATAATTAAAAAAAGCTTGATACAGACTTGGTCTTGTCCTTGTTGATCTGAAGTCTTTGGTCAGATTATTTATGAACTTCTCACTTGCGAACTTCTCACTTGCAAACTTTTAGACAGATCTTGATGTCAGTCATTAAATTCACCATTTCCCTTTATGCCGTTCCTCAACAACTGTTCATCCGTCTCTGTACAGCCACTTGAAATTGAAAAAAGGTTTTAGGCCTGCAGTTTATCTCGAGACAGTGAAGTGTACTCGGTGAAACAATTAACTACTTTGTCACGTGACCTGTCACACTGAATTCTTTCATAACTGATGTACTCTCGGATTCCTGTGATGCTCAGCTGAGTTACGGTAATGCTGGGCGTGATTAAACAGACCTGCTGAACCTGTTCTGACCTGATGGATTGGGGGAAGGTGGAGAAAGCTCATGATTACAAACAACCTGCTCCTATAGTTCTAATGCACTTTTGTTTTTGTTTTTCTTTAACACCTGTTACTGATGTAAAACAGGTGTCAAACATGAGGCGCGAGGGCCAGAATCAGCCTGGCAGAAGGCTCCAATACAGTCTACTGGGCATTTTTTTACAGCTTGTCCTACTGATGAAGACATCACTTACAGATGTTCATTTCACACAAAAGTAACAATTAAATGACAGGATTTCCTTTTTCCCCTTCTCCATCTACAGCAGAAAGTTCTTTCTTTTACAATGTGTCCATAATAAAAATCAATAAATGGGACAGTTTTTGATCATTAAAATTTTTCTGCTTTATATTTACAGGACAGTGTGGGCAATAAGCAACCATAACTTGTTTTGTAATTTCACACATTTCTTACAATTAAAGCCCAAAGAGTCATGCTGACTAATTTATTTTGTTAAACAGAGTTGCATTTCTTTATCATGTTGTAAAACTGAGACATACTGTTAAAATTGCACTCCTTTTCCTTATATTGAGATAACAAGGGGATTAAATGTATGGTTAAACTTATTTACACGGAGTTTTCACAGTTGGCACTATAACCAAAGTGGGCTGCATGTGGGCCCCAATGTAAAATGAGTTTTACTTCCCTGATGGAAAATCGTTAAAATACCATAGCAGAAGAAAGTGCAAGGATTAATGTGAACCTCATAAATGCTATAACCTGGTTGGACCTCATAGCAATATATTAGTAACTGATAAAGTACAACAGTGTGTATTAAAACCCTATATTTAATTAAATATAGTAAAAAAATATATCTGATGTTGCAAATGACAAGTTTTTATTGTTGCATGAAAAATGCCCACCTGGTGGAGGAACTACAAACTGTGTTATTTGGTTAAATGAAATGGTTCAAACAATTCAGGAATCATTCTTCCTGATGTAAAACGGCAAACATTATACTTACCTCAGCATTTTGCCTGCTTCCTTTTTTCTTTTTTTTTAAGAATGGCCGTTTGACAACTGAGACCATTTCTGATGATGCTTCAGTGAACAGCAGATGGATCAACTAAAAGGTCAGATACATCTCCCAGATCCTGTGTAAGTTCCTCACTGAATCACTTCAGAATTGTCACTGTCACAGGTACAACCAAATAAAAAAAAAAAAAATCCTGTTTCTTCCTGTTTCTTAAGGACGTGACTTTCAGATAATGTTCATTTGCTGTAGCTACTGTTTTAGGCCACCTCTTCTTTCTACTCCACATGTTCAGTTTTCCCAGTTTTTTTTTAAGGAAACACTGCACCCCAGGCAGAAACTGTGCCAAGTTTTTAGCTTATGGCTCTCTGGGAATCTCCTTGATGCAAGAGGATGTTATGGCCGTCAAACTATGCTGTTGACATTTTTATAGATTAAACTACAGGAATGGGAAGAAATTATGTGTTTTTGCAACAGGCTGCTATTGACAAAGTCTAAAGACACAATTTAAAACTGGTTGTTTACCAAGTTGCCTGTTATGTACAGACATAACACTGGTCCATCCTTAGATTAGAATCATTCTTTTGTTTGAATGGTTAATAGATCAGTGTAGCTTAAAACAGAAAAAAACATCCTGTGAAAATGGTCAGGTACAATGATGCAACTGAAAATGAGTGAAAAAGCAGCCAATGTCCAAAGGAAAACTTTCAAAGACCTTCAAAAAACTGGAGAAGTGTTACCCTAGAGCACTTTAAACATTACAAGAAACTCTGGTTCATTCAAAGCAGAACATAAAGCAATGAGGAGTGGCTCAAGACTTTTGCACAGCACTGTACTACACCAGTACTGTTACAACATCTCATCCAGTTTAAAACAATGCAATATTTTATGATGGCTGTGATGAAGGCCACAAGCCCAAACACACATTAAAACGATAACATTTCTCTGTAAGAGCGGCTGCAGCTTTAACCTCTTGCAAACATCAGTTTCACACACAAATGAAACGATGCAGTGCAGCAAAGCTAAAGATGACATTAAACAGATATTAAGCATTAAGTTTGCTCCTATAACGACAGCCTCACAAACAAACAGTCTAATCAAAACTTGGCCATTGGAATAAACTTAAATATTCCTGGAAACGGGAGATACACACCCAGAGTGATACAACACCACACACAGTGTCCAGTTTTCATTCTGACCAAATGACTTACCCAGCTGTTCTGACAGCTCTCTGCAGCCACCACTCGCTCGTCTTCCAGATCACACTTGTTCCCTATCAACAAGTGTGATTTGTTTTTTAGATATTAAAGCATTTGAGAGTAGGCTCACCTTGAGCACATGTGACAGACGTGGAAAGGTCTGGAGAAGCTGTGGAGAACATTTTGCTGCCCGTATCATCGTTCAGTACAACCAGTTTAGTGGTGGGTCCTGGGTTCCTACTGGTGTTCAACAATAACCCCGCCTCATGTAGTGAGAGTATGCAGGCAGTTCCTGGAAGATAAAGGAATTGATACCACTGACTGATCTGACATAAATCCAATAGAACATCTCTGGGACATTATGTTTCAGTTCATCCAACGCTACCAGATTGCAGTGATGCCCTGGTTCAGGTCTGGAAGGAGACCCTCTCTCTAAAAACATAGGATTTGTCAGGCATGCATACAAAGACGTGAGGGTTATACAACCTACTGAGTACCATTCTGAGTTTCTGCAGTGAAAATATGGGCAAAATGCACTATCCTGCTGCATTATCAGTGGGTCTTAAACACAAATGCTTCGCTGTTTTTACATTTTACACAGCATCCCAACTCTTTTGGAAAGAAACTTTAGCATGATCATAGTACTACCTAAAACAAACCAAGCCTACAAAAGATTGAATCTATACCTGATGTGTCTTTGCATGTTTTTGTAATAATCATTAGTAAAGTGTCCACTGTATTTTATTGTGTAAATGTATTGTTTTGTACATGGTTTTGTATGGCATTTCCCCCCATGAGTGTGAACAGTTCTCTGTCTCTCTGTGTTAGCCCTGCAATAGACTGCCAGGATGTACACTGCCTCTCACCCTGTGACAGCTGGAATAGGCTCCAGCAGCCCTGTGACCCTGAACTGGATAAACGGAAGAGAATGGATGGATGAAGGTATCACAGATGCAGATGTTTTCTTATTCTCTGTGTTAACTAATAAGGACAAACAAATTAAATAAATAAAATCAAAACCTTTTAATTTGAAGGCATTTTCATGGGGCCCGCTGGCTATGCAAACCAGTCCCGATGGGTTTTTTCCCTTTAAGGTCCTCCTGCTAGATACATTCAAAATATAATAAAAGTTGTGATACTGCAAATGTGCTTCCTGCCTTCTTGATTTATCTTTAATTTTGAACATTTAATTTTAACGGTTAAATGTAGTGTAAGACAGTTTATGGAGTCATAAATTTTGACAGTGCATAATAATAAACTTTTTTCAAAGAGTATATATATCTATAGATTTATATCTATAGATATATAGATATTTGAGCAATCTGTTGACACCTGTCCCTATTCTATCGGCACCTGTCTTCTTGTCTCCTTGCCTTCTCTCGCTTCCTACAGGTGACTTCCTATAGGAGACAAGTGGTACTGAGGGATGAGAGGAAAGGAGCGGGGGTGGAGAAGACGAACGGAACGCCGCCGCGATCAAGGCTCCCCCTGTCTTTCTCTCTTGCCACCACTGTTTGTCATTTTCTCATTATTAGCTTGTCTCCGTTGTTCGGTTTGATCTGAAGCATCAACAGTTTGTGGAATATTGTAGCAACAGCCAAAATACCGCTGACAAAAGGGTGAAAAACATGAGTGTCGAGGCGTACGGGCCGAGCTCGCAGACTCTAACGTTCCTGGACACCGAGGAAGCCGAGCTGCTGGGAGCGGACACTCAGGGCTCCGAGTACGACTTCACCGATTTTACCCTGCCGAGCCAGACCCAGACTCAAGGCCAAACCCAGAGTCAGCTAGACGGCCAGGTTCGTGTGGTTATTCACGCCGTTTCTGTGCATGAATGAAGGTCCTGCTGTGTTGACAAAACGTGAATCAGCTAACGATGGCTAACAACATCGTTAGCATCTGACGCCTTGCCTCCGTTACCATGCTTTTATTCCGCTAATGGCTAGCACGGCAACTAGCCAGCTTAGCTCACGGCTAACATAGCTAGCATGCCGATATAACTAGCATGTAAAGCCACTGGACTTTATTGCTATATGAACTAAGACTGAATTTTCTGCGTGGTAGACCAGCAAAAATGCCCATACATATATGTACCGGCAGTTATTTCTTTCTCTTACTAGTAGTTATATGCACTGTATACATTGTCACTGAAAAATAACAATCACTGGTCAGTAGAGGCAATTATTCTAATACTGTCAACAGTCCGTTTAATTATGGGACAGTATGACTGCTGCTGTGGAAAAATTACATTACATAAGACTTCATCGGTCTGGTTGACTGCCCAGTTTGGCGCCCATCTTTTCCAGTATCAGTTGACGATGTGTGATCTGTGGCATGTAATGCATAATGTCGACAATAAGTTTCGTTTCATGACTCTTAAATTCATTTGTCTCCTCAGGTCAATGGCCCTGATGGTGTGTTACAGAATGGAGACGACCCTGTTGTGAAGGCCAGCCAATTACTGGCAGAGTTGAACTTTGAGGAGGATGAGGAGGACACTTACTACACCAAGGACCTTCCTGTGCATGCTTGCAGGTAAAAGACCAGACTAATGTTTCTGAATTGCCTGTCATCATGTGCTTGTGTCATTTTATTTCGTTGCTTTATGGTCTCTGTTTGCAGTTTGGATTTATTGTGCATGCATTGTTGCTTTACACAGCTGTAAAAGGCTACTGCCAGTTGATTTTTGGTTTTAATATGTGGGTTTGCCACACCAGAGGTCTTGTAAGAGTATAAGTTTGGGAAGTGCAAACAATTTCCCTGTTTTCTGGCTCTTTTTCTGTGTGGTCTTTTATATAAAAATGCTTTGAATTTCTTGTTCAATTTTGACTTTCCTTCAGTTATTGTGGGATTCACGATCCAGCCTGTGTGGTCTACTGCAACACCAGCAAGAAGTGGTTTTGCAACGGCCGTGGAAACACTTCTGGCAGGTAAGATGCACTCACTTACCAGCCTCTTTTTGCTCCGTCCTATGTTGGGTCTTAACTAAATAACACTTGAGGGGATCATTTTACAGGTGCGCTATCCTTTAGTTAGACGAGTACAGTGACTGTAATAATGAGTTTCTGTTTTGTTGTGAAACAGCTATTAAAAATGGATGACTATAGTTTCATTGTTGACTTAAGGCAGAAGTCAAAGAAGATTGTTTGACTGTGAAAGGCCACTTAGGCTAATGTTTAATTTTGAAATCCAAAGTAAAGAACTGTTTAACCTAGTACTGTATTATTTCCTGAACTGCTACAGTTAAAACCAGACTATTGTGGATCACCTCTGTCATACAAAGCATTCCCTATTCATTCAGCTCTTTTAGTAAACACGCACAGTGTATTTGCTTTGACATTATAGAAAAATCAGGTTTCATAATTTTGTCACTGCACAGTGGGGTTTTGAGACGACAATTGCATGGCTAGAACATGTTGAGCTGAGACTTGGAAAGTAAGAATTATTAGTGTACTGAATGCACAGTCTTGCTTTCTTTCCAGCTAGTGCCTTAATTGCTATTCTACTCACTTGTAGCCACATTGTTAACCACCTGGTGAGGGCAAAGTCCAAGGAGGTGACCCTGCATAAAGATGGCCCCCTGGGGGAAACAGTTTTGGAGTGCTACAACTGTGGCTGTCGCAACGTCTTCTTGCTTGGCTTCATTCCTGCCAAGGCTGACTCAGTTGTGGTGTTACTGTGCAGGTAAGGGCAAAACCTGAGTAGCTGACTGTTCACCCATAGGGGTCATTTAAACAAATTATGTTTGACTTTTTTGTTTTGATTTTAACACAGGCAGCCATGTGCTAGCCAGAGTAGCCTGAAAGACATCAACTGGGACAGCTCACAGTGGCAGCCTTTAATCCAGGACCGCTGCTTTCTTTCCTGGTTGGTCAAAATTCCCTCAGAACAGGAGCAGCTCCGGGCACGCCAGATCACTGCCCAGCAGATCAACAAGCTGGAGGAGCTGTGGAAGGTACTGTCACACCACCTTCACTATGTAAATATTCCACAGCACGAATTTGAGTGTGGATCAGACTTATCTATATAGTTACACTTAACCAGATGAATTTATACAGCTGTCTGTTATGCAAATAATGTAACGGAAATGTCTGCACTGTCTGTTTCATGTGCCTGCTAGAACATTAATCTTTTTTCCTCCATATGTTTTTGACTTGTTATATTTGCAAATATATAACTGTACTAAATACTGGCTTTGGTTCTATTCATGTGTTCAAATAGACTAATGTTAAGGTAGTGAGCCAGCAGACCTAATGCAGGAACCTAAAACTGAAGCAGCAAAATAGTAATGATCTATCATAAGATTTATGGATTCCACTGTGCTTACATACCAAATTATCTGAATGTTTCTTAGTTTGAGTCTACTATTTTTCACCACAAAGGAACCTGCCTATCTCTAAATATTTTTTTGCTTTTCTATCCACATTTTTAATCTTATCATGCACGATCTGACGTGCGGGTGGGTGGGTTTGTTTTTTCTTTTTCTTTATTTTTTCCTTGGTAGGAAAATCCCACAGCAACCTTGGAGGACTTGGAAAAGCCTGGAGTAGATGAGGAGCCCCAACATGTCCTGCTTCGCTATGAGGATGCCTACCAGTACCAAAACATTTTTGGTCCTCTTGTGAAGTTGGAAGCTGACTATGATAAGAAACTCAAAGAGTCACAGGTAACAAACAACTTGATTACAGTTTGTATGATTTCTTGTCACAGTACTTGGTGATTGCTGGTCACACAACGAGTTAGCTATTTGTTTTGTTTGTAAGTGAATTCTTTTTTTACTGTATGACTTAAAAGCTTAGATTTGTAGCCAGGGGTTTTCTGCATTTACTTCTTGAGGATTTTGTAACCAAAACGTACTCATAGTTTTTATTGTGTATGATAATTTTGAAAAATGGATGAGCGTCATTGCTGTTTCAGTTGTTTACATTTATTATTTTTATAATATAATTTATATATTAATTATAATTTTATTATTAATTTATTTCTCAACAGACACAAGACAATATCACAGTAAGATGGGACTTGGGCCTGAATAAGAAGAGGATTGCTTATTTCACCCTTCCCAAGACAGACTCAGGTATGTAGCAGTAGTTTCACTGTGAAGTTTACAGCCATTACTTCATACTATGTGACTTTGTAATTTGTGTGTGCACTCTTTAAATTTATTGGGTTGTATGATTTTATAATCCTTTGCACTCATTTTGAATTTTTTTTTTCTTAATGTGCATTTTAAAAAGTATTTTGTCTCATCACCCGTCCTTTAGATATGCGGCTGATGCAGGGAGATGAAATTTGCCTGAGATACAAAGGAGACCTGGCCCCTCCTTGGAAAGGCATTGGACATGTCATCAAAGTCCCTGACAGTATCCTTATGACTTTGAATAGGCATACCATCCCCAAGCTACACACTACAGTTTAACCATATAATCTGTTTATACACATTTAAAACTACAGGTAAGGTGATGTATGGATCTTTAGGAACACCTAGTGGCGGCTGTGTGAAACTACAACCATATAAACAAACTTTTCTTCCTTCATGCTTCAGTGTATTTTGGAAACAATTTCTATATTTAGTTCTTGTTTATACAGGATAATTTCTTAATTTCTAGTTTACACTACACCACAAGTACAATCCAAGGCTGTGGATCATTGCATTTTTAGTGACTCTCCTCCACAGTTTGAACATTTAGTGTTAATGAAACTAACACAAAGTAGAGACTGAATCACTTTAGGTGTTTTAACCAGAAATGCAAAGCAGTGTTTGCATGACTTGCATTCAAAAATGAATTGCAGAAAGGCAAAAGTTATGTAAAACTTTCATGCAGACCTTTTTATTCACTTCTTCCAAACCCAAAACATTCTACATGCACTGTTGTGCAGCTGGGTTTGCATTTCATTAAAGGACAGAGTAGCTGCTGCTTACAATTTTACATGCAGAAGAAGACTGTGATTGTCCCTCAGTACTTGTGAGAGACCGCTCATAAATTATTGGAATTTTGGAGTTTGGGATGGATGCATTTTTAAAATAGGAAGTTATTCCTAATGATACATTTTAGATATCTGTGAGTCCAGTTGGGGAATAATCTGGGTAAGACATACAGTGCCAGAAATTAAATGTTTTTGTTACTCCAGTACATATTGAAGCGTTAGCTGTTTCCTTGACCTTCTGTCTCAGATTATGGTGATGAAATAGCCATCGAGTTAAGGAGCAGTGCCGGGGCTCCAGTGGAGATCCCTCACATCTTTCAGGTGGACTTTGTGTGGAAGTCCACTTCCTTTGATAGGTATTTCAAATCTGTGAACTCTTGTATTTGATGTGATTAGTGCAATAAAGACCTGAAGCCTAAAGTTCTGCATCAGGTACAATAACAGTGTTTTGTTAAAAAAAATGTTTTTCTTTTCAGGATGCAGAGTGCTCTGAAGACATTTGCTGTGGATGAGACTTCAGTGTCTGGTTACATCTACCACAAACTGCTGGGACATGAGGTAGAGGATGTGGTCATCAAGTGCCAGCTGCCCAAACGCTTCACTGCTCAAGGCCTCCCTGACCTTAACCACTCCCAGGTGAGTTGGAGAAGAAGGCGTGTTACATGACTGAAATTAGTTTTGCTTGCTACCTGGCCTCTTGGACTTTGTCCTGTCAGAGATCACATGGATTTTTTTGTTTTGTGATGCAGGTGTACGCTGTGAAAACAGTGCTGCAGCGCCCCCTCAGTCTGATCCAGGGCCCACCTGGCACAGGAAAGACGGTCACCTCTGCCACCATTGTGTACCACCTGGCCAGACAAGGAAATGGGTACGAAACTTGACTCTAGTCTTTTTTGTAATGCCACCTTTCTGTTTTATTCTTTATTTACTCTACATTTAACTTATTAACAATATTCCTTGAAGTCTTTATGACCTTAGTCCTGGCTGAAATAAATAATTAGAAAAAAGACCATTAATACAGTTTAAAATTGTCTTTGCAGGCCTGTGCTGGTTTGTGCTCCCAGTAATATTGCAGTTGATCAGCTCACTGAGAAGATTCACCAAACAGGGCTCAAGGTGGTGAGACTCTGTGCCAAGAGCAGAGAGGCCATAGACTCACCAGTGTCATTCCTGGCTCTGCACAACCAGACCCGTAATATGGACAGGTAACACACATCTGTCTATCTTTTTTGTGCATCTGTGATTAGCCTGTTTTGTCTTCTTTTTAAAGAGTTGGACTAGCTGTTGGTCTGTATTGATTCAATAAAACTACCATACATGCTTTAGTTTTACAGTCAGTCTAAAACTGTTTAGGGGAACCACAACTGAGATTATGATGTTGCATTATAATAGTTTGTGTCAGAGCAGCACACAAACACAACACTGATCTCACACTCTGATAAATGTGTTCATGCCTGCAGTATGCCAGAGCTTCAGAAACTCCAACAGCTGAAGGATGAGACTGGAGAGCTGTCCTCCTCAGATGAGAAGCGCTACAGAGCTCTGAGGCGCACTGCTGAGAGAGAGTTGCTTATGGTGTGTCATTTGGACTTGCTGAACTCTAAATATGTCCTGTTTATGACAGTGCTAGGCACAGTAATGTGTATCCATCCATATTTTTTTTGTGATAGTTTGTATGATGAGACTTTCCATTAACTTTTTACTAAAATATTATTTATCATTGTGATGGTTTATTAAGGAAAAAAAACAAGTAAGTGATACTTCATCATAATGAAACTCAACTTTCTCTCTTTTCTCTTTGCCAGAATGCTGACGTGATCTGCTGTACGTGCGTTGGGGCAGGAGATCCTCGTCTGGCGAAGATGCAGTTCAGATCTATCCTGATCGATGAGAGCACCCAGGCCACCGAGCCAGAGTGCATGGTGCCTGTAGTCCTTGGCGCCAAGCAGGTAGGAGCTCCATAAGTGAAAATAACACTTGATCAGTAATCTGCAGTATTAGTGATCAGCTTAAACTGCTGTAATTTGTAACGATGTGTTTATTTTCTTCGTAGTTGATTCTTGTGGGTGATCACTGCCAGCTGGGACCTGTGGTGATGTGTAAGAAGGCAGCTAAAGCAGGCCTGTCCCAGTCTCTGTTCGAGCGTCTTGTAGTTTTGGGGATCCGACCAATCCGTCTGCAGGTCCAGTACCGCATGCACCCGGCCCTCAGTGCCTTCCCCTCCAACATCTTTTATGAGGGTTCTCTGCAGAACGGAGTCACTGCCGGTGAGATGGAAAGAAAGACATACAACCTTACATTTCCTCATTTCTTACCAGTACAGAAAACTTAAAAGTAAATAAATAAAGATCTTTACCGTCTGTATATGCTGCTTTATGTGACACTTTATGTGTTGGATATTTCTTTAAAACCCACTCTAGGCTGTAAAACATTTGCATTTGTTTTTTATGCTCTTCTAAAATGTAGTCATCTGGCAGATGACTCATAGATGTAACACAGCCTGTCGCTAATCATATCCAGCTTATTAATATGATTATTAAGTGTACCAGACTGCACACCATAATCTGTTTGTTCTTTCTGCAGCGGACCGTGTGAAAAAAGGCTTCGACTTCCAGTGGCCCCAACCCGACAAGCCGATGTTCTTCTATGTCACCCAAGGCCAAGAGGAAATTGCTAGCTCTGGAACATCTTATTTGAACAGGTGCCAACTTTCTTGGACTCTGTTGCCTGTGTCTGCCTTTTAGTGTCTAAATGATGCCCGAAGATAGCCAATATTTGACAGACATAAATTTTCTGAATCACTTCGAACAATCCTGATATAAAGTAGATGACTTAAGTGTTCAGAAACACTGTATGCTTGAAGTGATGTCTCATCTGTTTAAAGTCAAGGTTAATAGATTCCTGTGTTACTTCAGATGTTCTATATTCAAAAGAAAAATCATTCTACTCACTCTACTTGTTCATGCAGGACTGAGGCAGCCAATGTGGAGAAAATAACAACGAGGTTGCTGAAGGCTGGAGCAAAACCTGATCAGATTGGTATCATCACTCCCTATGAGGGTCAGAGGTCCTATCTGGTCCAGTACATGCAGTTCAGTGGCTCCCTCCACACCAAACTCTACCAGGTAGACTGAGAAATGTTTCATTCAAACTTCAAATGAATGTTAAATTGATTCAGTCTAAACTAATGAAATACCTGAATCCTTAAAGGAGAGGCCAAACACTTGTAGTAGCACCTACGCAGGACACAGGACCAAAGAATTTCAGGCACTTGTGTTTAGTGTTGGAATAAAATATAAAACGCCTCACCCAAGAATGTCTTCATACTTTGTGCAGGAGGTGGAAATAGCCAGTGTTGATGCTTTCCAAGGGAGAGAGAAAGACTTCATCATCCTGTCCTGCGTGAGGGCCAACGAGCACCAGGGCATCGGCTTCCTCAATGATCCCAGACGTCTTAACGTGGCTCTCACCAGGGCCAGGTAATGCAAGAAACCTCACCAGCTTTTTGACTCTAAACATTTAAAACCATCACTGTGAGGACAACGTGGCAACGTTACTGTCTTTTGCTCTGTCACAGATATGGCGTGATCATTGTGGGAAACCCCAAAGCCCTGTCCAAGCAGCCTCTGTGGAACCACCTGCTCAATTACTACAAGGAGCAGAAGGTCCTGGTTGAAGGCCCGCTCAACAACCTGAGGGAGAGCCTCATGCAATTCAGCAAGCCCCGCAAGCTGGTGAACACCATCAACCCTGTGAGTTTAGTGTGTGTGTGTGCGTGCTAGTTACACATACAGTTTTTTGATGCTAAAGCAAAGTTTTTTTGTTTGTTTGTTGTTTTTCGATTATGAATATTTGTTGCTTTGGTACATAAAAAACTGGATGTGCACTTTAACGTTTGGTCATCT